AGTTTTTCTGTCGCAATATTATTTAAGGAATCGTTGAGCTAGCTAACTAGCATACATTGTCACTATCTGCTAACGTTAGCTTTAGCCTTCGTTTTCAAATAGCTTTTTTCATAGGCTATAAACGGAGGTGGTATAAGTATATATCTTGTACTTGAGTAAAAGTAGAAGCACTCGGATCTTGTACTTGAGTAAAAGTAGAAGCACTCGGATCTTGTACTTGAGTAAAAGTAGAAGCACTCGGATCTTGTACTTGAGTAAAAGTAGAAGTACTCAGATCTTGTACTTGAGTAAAAGTAGAAGTACTCAGGTCTTGTACTTTAGTAAAAGTAGAAGTACTCATGTCTTGTACTTGAGTAAAAGTAGAAGTACCAGAGTATAGGAATACTCTGTTACAGTAAAAGTCCTGCATTCAAAAATGTTCCTCAAAAGTAGTGATTGTGCAGATTGGTCCATTTCAGAATAATATATATGATATTTTTTTATTTTTTTATTTAGCCTTTATTTATACAGGTGTAAAATCTCATTGAGACACAAGGTCTCATTTCCAAGAGAGACCTGTCAGTGGTAACACTACCACACAAAGTTACAGACAGGACACTAAACACAGAGGCAACACTAAAATACAACATTGTAAAAAAAGTAGTCATGTTTTATAATGATTGATCATTAAAGTGTTATCAAAGCTGGTAAAGGTGCAGCTAGTTTGAATGACTTTGTATACTGCAGGGCAGCTTGTGAATTTACTCCAGGTGGAACTAAAATCTGATTTAACAAAAAAGTACACCATTTACCTCTGAACTGTAGTGGAGTAGAAGAACAAAGTAGCAAAACATTGAAATACTTAAATAAAGTACAAGTATCTCAAAATTGTACCCAAGTATAGTACTTGTTGAGTTTATGAACTTGGTTACTTTACACCACTGGCTATAAAGATAGAAAGACTAAGCCTTGCACAGAGGCATGAAAATACATTTTCAAAATGCTCAACAGTCCTGCCAAAATTATAAACTGACTGCTACACAATTAAAATAAATGCTTAAATACATTTCTATTAGATGTGACTCTTTGGCGTTTCTGTTATTATTAACTGCTGCTTTAGTTGTTCTGACTGCTAAAATCCTCTGTTATTCCTCATTTTAAAGCCGATATTCCGTGGGGTCGGGGGGCTCGGATCCTTGTCACCTTTTTCATACCTGATGAGTTTGCATCCCTGCTATGATAAATGGACTCAAATTTAATTAAATATTGTCTGTATTTTATAATTTTGAATCGATTTTGGTGTGATGAAATCACTTCCTATGTCAGGATGGCCGAGCGGTCTAAGGCGCTGCGTTCAGGTCGCAGTCTCCTCTGGAGGCGTGGGTTCGAATCCCACTTCTGACAACAACCTTTTGAGACGTGCTCAGTTGTAAACAATCACATGCTGTTGGTAAACACATGATCCATTAATAGTCTTACCGACACTCTAGACGGGTAGCTTCTCAGTGACCTCCTTTCTATTCGTTTTTTTGGTATCTGAGACTTTATTTATATGTTTAACCTTTCACCATGTCTTGAATGATGTAGCTTAAAATAGAGTTGTCAAGCTCAAACCCATAATACTTGTAAGTTGAGAGCAAATGTAATTATAAACTGTATTAATTTATGATATAGTACAAGGTATGATACAAAAATTGCCTACTTGAGAATGATTTAAAATAAAAGTGAAATAAAAATGTTCGGTTGAGCATCACATGCTGTAAAACAGGCTTTATATGGATCACAATGTTTTACCTTTTGTCTAATTAGTAAGAAATGGCAACTTAATTACATATTTGTTGTATTTTATAATTTCGATCTGTTTTTAATATGATGACATCACTTCCTATGTCAGGATGGCCGAGCGGTCTAAGGCGCTGCGTTCAGGTCGCAGTCTCCTCTGGAGGCGTGGGTTCGAATCCCACTTCTGACAACAACCTTTTGAGATCCACCTGATGACTTAAAAGTAAACGCATACTTCACCTTCCTGAGACACACAGGTAAAGTAGAATAACTCCCTCATTAACACGTAAAGTACACACATGCTTCATCATCTGCCTGAGACGCACAGTTAAAGGTCCTTACACACCAAGCCGATTTCGGCCGTCGATAGATCTCTGGCTGTCGATGAGCGTCCTGTCCCCCTACTCAGATTGGTCGTGTCTTTTAGGCCGTGCCGACACCTTCCGCCACCGATTCATCATGTTGAATCGGTAGGCTGTCGATAAAAGGCCGTCGGCTAAAGAAATCACTCTGATTGGCTGTTCAGCTTAGCGAATCAGTGCATGAGAAGCGAAACGGAAGTCAGGGACCCAAACAAACGATTAAGAAGGCAAATCTGAGATTTCATTTAACTCCAGCTCTCGACACAGGTTCGGGAAAGCCCCATGAGCTTCTCGCTGTAGAGTGAAAATGGAACGCACACGCTATTTGCTGTTTGTTTATATCATGCAGTCTGTTCTTCTTCTCTCGGTGTATCACGCAGTCCGTCTTCCGGTTGTTGCCTCTTTTTGAATGACGAATACACACTACCGCCGCCTGCTGGTAAGGAGAGTTATTGCCACTCATTACATTACATTTAATTTAGCTGACGCTTTTATCCAAAGCGACTTACAATTACCAATTACAGGGACATTCTCCCTGGAGTAACTAAGGACTAAGTGCCTTACTCAAGGGCACACTAGTGGTGGTGTTCCTGGCGGAACACGCATGCGCAGTTCGTACGTGCTACTTGGCCGTCGGCTGAAGTCTTTGCGGTGTGTTCCAGTGCGACACATGGCCAAGACGCAGGAGACGTGAGGCGACACAACAGTCGTGTCCGTCGGGACGTGTTCTTTGGTGTCAGATTGGTGTGTAGGGGCCTTAACATGTTGCTCCTGAGTAACCTACTTCAGACTTTATCTGAAACTTTTATTTGGAAGAAAATCATTTAACCTTTGACCCTAATGTGAAAGCTGCAGCTTGACAGAGAAGGTGGTCAAGCTCAGTCAAGCCTTCAACACATGTGAGCAAATATTATTATTTCTTCTGTATGAAAAAGTAAAATAAAGAAATAAATACTCAAGGCAATAATGATGTTAAAAAAGTATAACAAATATATATACTTTCAACACGTTTTCAATTTTTAAAGTGGTTATTATAAAATGATATTGTGACAATTTAGATTTTTCCCAGTTTTTACCATTTATGCAATACCGCCAAAAAATCTACGCCAAAAAAATATTCAAATGTTAAATGTCCATACAGTAATAATACCTGAACAATGTATAAAAATAGCCTACTATTGACAACCTAATAGTCTTAAATAACTAGTCACCTTTTTGACCTAATTATATATTGTGTGTATTTTATCATTTTGAATCCATGTTAATATGATGACATCACTTCCTATGTCAGGATGGCCGAGCGGTCTAAGGCGCTGCGTTCAGGTCGCAGTCTCCTCTGGAGGCGTGGGTTCGAATCCCACTTCTGACAACAACCTTTTGAGACGTGCTCAGTTGTAAACAATCACATGCGGTTGGTAAACACATGATCCATTAATAGTCTAAACGACATTCTAGACGGGTATAGCTTCTCAGGCCCCGGCCCCACGAGGATGAAACGGGTTGTCTCCGCATAGTTTCTCTTGCGTATAGCCCTTTTGTTTACACGAGGCCGTAACAAAACGATAGAAACGGACCCCGCAAGCGATAACGGGTCCCAAGGTGGATAGATCTGCAAACGGAACGCTCTGGGGGGTCAAACGTCTCCGTGTTTACACCTATACAATCATGTCCTGATAATATATTGTTATTGATTAATGCATCAGTGTTTCTTAGGGTCAAGAACACTAAACTCACAACTTAAAATGAAAGCGTTTAGTTTATTTAATAAAATATCACATGTTCAATGTGAAAAGTGACAGTAGATATAGATTAGTTGCAATTTGGTGAATAAAAAATAAAAATAAATTATAATTTTGAATTTCTGGGGGGGCGCGGGGCTCCGTTGGCGGGGCGCAGCGCCCCTGCAAAACAATGGTAGGGGAAACACTGCCCCAGCATGCAGCGGGTGGTGCTCTCCACACCAGGAGTCTTTGAGGGCTTCTTCGGTGTCCTGAAGTGGCCACTCAAAAGCCTGTCCTGGTGGCGTGCTGCATACACCACCCGCTGCTTGTCCACCTCCTCAAAGCTGTCCCACAGTGCATTTCCCCTGCCTGCCGGTTACTCAGGCAGAGAGAGGTCTTGTCCCGCAGATCCACCAGGTACTCAGCCAGTCTGTCAACGTGCTGGAACCCCGGAAGATTCTGGTCATCGACAGCCTATGTAGATGATGAAACAGTTTAGAAAGGGAAACATTAAGCAAACACTGACCTTTATAATGTTGTGGATATAATAAAGTATGTGTGCATAAGTAGTTGATAATGAAATCTAGATAATCTATATACATAAATATTCTAAAGTGACACTTACCATTTCTTCTTCTTCAGCTTGCATGTCAACACTAGCGTCAGAGGAAGAACTGGAGGGCAGGATGTGCTTGGGGCCGGTGTTGTTCTGCTCGGGGCTCCGGTGGTTCTGCTGGGAGCCCGGATGGAAGTGCCAGATGTCAGGGTGGTTGTGCTGGGAGCCTGGATGGAAGTGCCAGATGTCAGGGTGGTTCTGCTGGGGGCCAGGGTGGTTCTGCTGGGGGCCAGGGTGGTTCTGCTGGGGGCCAGGGTGGAAGTGCCAGGTGTCAGGATGGTTCTGCTGGGGGCCAGGGTGGTTCTTCTGGGGGAACCACCCTGGGGGCCAGGGTGGTTCTGCTGGGGGCCAGGGTGGAAGTGCCAGGTGTCAGGGTGGTTCTGCTGGGGGCCAGGGTGGAAGTGCCAGAGGGAGTCTGAGAGGCTGGAGCCTGCAGGACCCTGAGGTCCAGCACTGTGGGGTCGTCTCTGATGTCAGAGAAGCCCTCATCTTCCTCCATGACGTCCTCATGCTCTTCAATCAGCTGAGCAATCTCCTCTGAATCAGGGTGCATATCCTGCAGTGCCTGAGCAGTCTGTTGCAACAGATACTGCATGCTGATTAGTTCTCCTGAAACGATAGAGGAAAAGTAGATTATTTACTAAATGGAAGAAAATGATATAAATATATTTTAAAATATTTTTTAAACGTTTATTAATTACAAACGTGTCCAAAAAGGCTTACCAGTGTAACGGGAGGGTGGACAGAACTCCGGAACCATGTTCCTTCCAAAAAGCTTCTCAAAGTTCTTGTTCACGCAGTGAAGCAAGTCCCCTGAGTAGCTGCGTAAAGCAGATGGTCCAGTACCCAGGGCAGCAGTACCACGGCCCTGGTTCCACCTGTGCAGTCCTTCCAGCAGGTAAATCTGAAAGTTGACGCTGTTGGCACTGGTCCCTAGAAGAACATTATGAAACATTAGGTTATGAAATATTTGGGCTATGCAACACATGAACCAACATGTTGACAGACACAAACCTGGTATGAACAAAAAACCTATTTACAAGCATTAAATATTGTACATTTTGATTAAATATTTACAGTATATTTACATTATTATTTGCCAAATATTTTCCTCATTTCCTCCAACCAAAGTTCTTTCGATAGTGTTTCTGTCTGCGGACAAAACACTCCCGCGGTACTGGCTGTGTCCAGTTTCAGCAGTGCGGAACTGGCCACACTTTTTGCAGGTGTTTGCCCCTACAGTCCGCCTGTATATCCGCTTTGGTGTGGCCCCAGCTCCGAGTGTGGCGACAGGAATAATGGTTGGTGGTGTGGTGCCCTGAATTGCAGCCGGAAAGGCAACTGGTACATAACAGAAAATGTGTCCAGTTGCTGTGACAAAGCTGACCTGAGGTTGGAGAGCAGGTGCTGGTGCTGGAGGTGTGATGGAGAGAGACCTCTTTGCTCTTCCCTTTGGCAGGATGAGAAGTGGAAGAGAAGAGGCCTTCTGTCTCTGTGGAGCCTGACCAGCTGTACTCTCCAGGAGCCGGTACTGGTGCTCGTGCTGTGCTGGCGTGGGTACAGCAGGGAGGACACGGGCCGCTTGAAGAGGCTCATCAGACTCAGGGAGGGCTGGAAGCAGAGCAGTGCCCTGCAGCAGCACAGACAGCTCCTGCTTCTTCTGCCTGCTGTTGTGCCAGGTGATGATGGTGGTTTGATTCACTTGCACCAGCTGAATCTGGGTGCCCTGCATCACCAGGTAGTTGCCAACAACCAGCTGCCGAATCTTAGTGTAGTCCCTAAGAATAAGGAACCACCTGGAAATGCCCCCCTTGCCTTTCCTGACTGAGGATCGGTGGAGATCACAGAGTCTGATAAAAATGCTCTCCACCAACCGACAGCAGTCAGGCCACTGAGCAGGAGCACTACTTGCCCCCAGCATGCAGCGGGTGGTGCTCTCCACACCAGGAGTCTTTGAGGGCTTCTTCGGTGTCCTGAAGCGGCCACTCAAAAGCCTGTCCTGGTGGCGTGCTGCATACACCACCCGCTGCTTGTCCACCTCCTCCAAGCTGTCCCACAGTGCAATGATTTCCCCTGCCTGCCGGTTACTCAGGCAGAGAGAGGTCTTGTCCCGCAGATCCACCAGGTACTCAGCCAGTCTGTCAACGTGCTGGAACCCCGGAAGATTCTGGTCATCGACAGCCTATGTAGATGATGAAACAGTTTAGAAATGGAAACAGTAAGCAAACGCTGACCTTTATAATGTTGTGGATATAATAAAGTATGTGTGCATAAGTAGTTAATAATGAAATCTAGATAATCTATATACATAAATATTCTAAAGTGACACTTACCATTTCTTCTTCTTCAGCTTGCATGTCAACACTAGCCTCAGAGGAAGAACTGGAGGGCAGGATCTCAGCAGCAGAGGCCTGTGCAGATGTGCTTGGGGTCGGTGTTGTTCTGCTCAGGGCTCCGGTGGTTGTGCTGGGAGCCCGGATGGAAGTGCCAGGTGTCGGGGTGGTTCTGCTGGGGGCCAGGGTGGAAGTGCCAGAGGGAGTCTGAGAGGCTGGAGCCTGCAGGACCCCGAGGTCCAGCACTGTGGGGTCGTCTCTGATGTCAGAGAAGCCCTCATCTTCCTCCATGACGTCCTCATGCTCTTCAATCAGCTGAGCAATCTCCTCTGAATCAGGGTGCATATCCTGCAGTGCCTGAGCAGTCGGCTGCAACAGATACTGCATGCCGATTAGTTCTCCTGAAACGATAGAGGAAAAGTGGATTATTTACTAAATGGAAGAAAATGATATAAATATATTTTAAAATATTTTTTAAACGTTTATTAATTACAAACGTGTCCAAAAAGGCTTACCAGTGTAACGGGAGGGTGGACAGAACTCCGGAACCATGTTCCTTCCAAAAAGCTTCTCAAAGTTGTTGTTCACGCAGTGAAGCAAGTCCCCTGAGTAGCTGCGTAAAGCAGATGGTCCAGTACCCAGGGCAGCAGTACCACGGCCCTGGTTCCACCTGTGCAGTCCTTCCAGCAGGTAAATCTGAAAATTCACGCTGTTGGCACTGGTCCCTAGAAGAACATTATGAAACATTAGGTTATGAAATATTTGGGCTATGCAACACATGAACCAACATGTTTGACAGACACAAACCTGGTATGAAGCGGTTGAGGTGTAGGTGAAAAGACTAATGATGTAGAGCCTCTTGCACATCTGTACGTAGGCAAACGTACTCCTCCCTTTGTGAGCTCCCCTGTTTTGATGTACAGAGCAACACCTGGCGTGTCCTGGATGCACTTGATGTGCTTTCTCTGGACACGCAAGATGTGCTCCATCCTCTCCCTGTCAAACAGGGGCACTCCTAGAGAGTCCTTGCCTTCGTTTCCTATGAGCTTCAGCAGCAGCTCCTCCAGCAGCTGAGTGGTGGTCCCCTCACCACGAGTCCTCCTCCTGCAGTGGAGAGCCAGCTCATCTTTGGTGAGATGATTACTGACGTCTGCATCCGTCAGGAAAGACAGGCCCTGGGATTGAAGCTGCTGTCTCTTTGCTTCACGCAACAGAGCTAAATCAGCTGCATCCCACTCAAATATGCACCTTGATAGACGTGACATAAAGATTGGATACAGCTGATGAGCATCTGTTGTGCATCCCTGTCACCATGTTGTAGATCCTGTCCACGTCCAGGACCTAACGGGCCCTCTTGTGCAGCCCTGCACCTGTGAGTTGGTGCTGCCCACAGCCAAGGTTGGGACAGACCACCTTCACCTTCCACAGCTTGTAAGGCATCCAGACAAGAAGTGGGTGGGCAAAGAAGCGGTCTGGTGCAGGAGCCTAGTAGTGATACAGGTACTGTGGTGGAAAGTACCAGAGCTTCAGGTGGTCTTGAAGCGCTAGTTTTCCCTTGGGCCCCAACTTCAAAAGGCTCTTAAGAATCCATTTGTGGTCTTCAGGTGGCAAGCCCTCTGACCACAAACGGGGCAGCTGGACTGGTGATGCCGTGTCAGTCTCTGTCCTGGAGGCAGCAGCCTTTGAAAAAAAAAACAACAGAGCATAAGCAACCTTAACACAGGTACAAACACTGCTGATGCTCTAGTCTACACAGTATGAAATGAAATATTAAATGACTTACCGACACAGTGGCACTCACTGCTCCGGGACTGAGGACAGGCACTGAAGCTATCTGAGGCTGTGCAGTCTGTAAAAGGCAAGAAATATACTGACATGTGTTTAAAGAAATCATAGCATTTACATCGACTGGTTTAGTTTGTTGGCAGTGGGTAGTGACAGCAACTTTGTGTGCATTGCTCTGGACATGTTCTGCACATTTTTGAGTTGCCTTTTTCCAGTTTCGGAAACCAGTGTTGCAAAAGGTTGGATCTGCAATCTTGGCCAAATTTGATCTTCCATGCCCAAAAGCTTGAGCACAGAAAAAACACAAGATTCCATTGACTCCTGGACTGCAGTGGAGCCACGGAAATTCACGGTACCACTTTTCTTGGAATCGTAACGTTTTGTTGATAAGCTGCTGCACTACAATGAGCTTTGGGTCAGCATGGTTTGGTTCTGCTTTCTGCTTGCCTGCCTGCACTTCTCTCATTATGTCTGTCTCCTCAGGTCTCTCCTATAAAATATTACAATATGCTAGCCTGTTGCTGACATGAGACATTGAAAATACCAAATAACCCGGCCCTTTATACAGCACTTGCCTGCAACTCTAAACTGCTTCTTCCTGTCTCACCCTCCCTGTCTTGAAGCCCCTCCAGCTCATCTGATCTCTGATATGAAAGCATGACACAAAAATATATAGAACAATGCTGGGAAATCATGTTGGTTGTATTATTACTAGTAGTGCACTCAGTCTTGTGAGCAACTAAGTATTTGTTCTGCTTTACATTGCAACACTTTAAATGTTATTCATACTGTATTCACTTCTTATACACTTCTTCCTCTCATCTCAAATTGAAATCACCTGACTACAGCACTTAACATACCTGCTGCAACTCTGTGCTGCTGCTGCTTCTATCTGCCTCACCCTCTGTTATGATGAATTGGAAATGGGGGACCCTGATGTAAACAAGACGAAAGTCTTTCTCTGGTCTTCATCCCCTTACCAATTGTATGTTTTGAGCTGTACTGTACTGTACCCAATATACAAGCTGTTAATAAACTTTTCAATCAATCAATCAATGTGTCTTGAGGCAGCTCCACGTCTGATCTCTGCTATGAAAGCAATGGTGTTATAATCATATTGAGGCATTGGTATTGTTGTAATCAAGACCACCTTAACTAAGACCAAGACCAAGACTTTAAGAGGTCAAGACCAAGACCAAGACCAAGACCGAGTCAAGACCGGAGCCAGACTAGTGTGAATCCAACATTATTCAAAAAGTGACCATTTTCATGTAATATTCTAACCGCAGGTCCGCAGCCACAGAGGCAGTGTCCAGCTCCTCCGTGGCGATGACGGGCCATCTGCGGTTAAAAATTATAATAAACGAATTTGAAAGTGGGGGGGGGACACATAAGGGATTTGGAAAAGTGGGGGCGACATGTCCCCCCCAAATTACGCCCATGCCCACAGCGCCTTGGACAGTACCTGCTGAACTCTGCTGCCCCACAGCTCTGTGGACCGGACCAGATGCAGCAGTCTGCTGTCCCACGGCACCTTGGACAGGAGTTGCAGCTGGCTGTTGTTCCATGACAGTGAACATAGATCAGTAATGAGTTTGTTTAATGATATGGATGCAAATAAACACTTGCACAGACAAGATGAGGTTTTCATTTAGTTCTTGAGAGTGTTACCTTCTGAGGGTGGAATCTACAGGTACACTGCTGCACTTGGCCAAACAAGGATTTCTGTCCATGTGCCTGCATTGGACACTTCTCAATCTGAAAATAGTAGTTGTGCATTTTATTGAGTTAAAAAAAGGATGAATCATTTAATTGGTGCAGTAAATAAAATGTATTAAAATACATAGTTCCATTAATATACTCGTACCCTTTGATACAGCTCAAACCATTTCTTCTGTCTGGGAGCCGGCCTGTTTCCCTCCCCTGCAGGCCAGGCCCCCGTGCTGGCAAACTTCCTCAGGCGGGACATCCACTCTGAGTCCGACATGGCCTTGTGTGGTTTTGTTTTCCTTGATTGTTCCTTTATGGCGCATTTCCACTACACGGTCGGCCTCGGCCACACTCGGTACGGCTCGGTACGGCTTGGCCGCGTTGGGCCTTAACAGGGCCGACTCACTTCATGCTGCGCTTCCATTACAGTTTAGGAACTGGGGTAGTTACTATAGTAACGCAGTGTAGGCGGAGCCGTGACGTCATCTTCAATGAGAAATCCAGAAACACAACACAGCCGTTAGCTGTTAGCACTCAGAGCTCACAGCTCCTTATATATGTTCAGAAACTCGACAAAAGTTAAACAAGTACAAACCACAGACTGCCTGTGTCATGGTGAATACAGTCGCTGCTTTATTTATGTCTGTATAGGCCGTTGTTGTGAGTGTGGACGGTCGGGGCATATACTGCGTTAGCTTAGCCAATCTCCATCTAGAAAAAACACGAATTTTAAAAGGTTTTTCGCCTGCCGTCTGTCTGCAGACTTGACAAAGCATTAATTCATGGTTTTTACTAACCGGTATCAGTATGTTGTTACTTCGGCATCATTTTGAAACGTGTATTACAATTAAATCACGGTCAAATATGTCCATCTTGTTGTAGTTCTAGCCCTCTTGCCAGCGCTCCTCTCTCTAGTTTAGCATACTCAGCCCGACTCAGCCCTGTTTGTTGGCCCCGATAGAACCACAATTTTCTAGGGCCAGAAAAGAGGGGAAAAAGTGGCCCCGCGTCGGAACGAGGCCTAGTGGAAGCACAACCAAAAAAGGGGACGGCACGACACGGCACGCTTAAAGCGAGCTACGCGCTGCAATGGAAATGCGCCATTAGAGTCATAAATGTGAGAACATTTTTAAATGCATAGAAACAACACAGGTGCAGAAACATATCAAGTGAAACACTTTTACGAGGGGTAAGCTGTCAGGTCTTTATGCCAGAAATTGTGTGTGAAAAAGTTATTGTTTGGGTTAAAAAGATCTTTCTGGCAGTATTAATGTTAAATATACTTGACCTTTACATTGGAGGTTTTATCTAAAAAGTCAATTGTGTGTTTGAAAATATCATGAATTAGAAAAGCATTTGATTAGTCAGCTACCTTCTTGGGCAAGTAGCCTATGTAAATAAAGGCATGGTAGGCTACTTAATAATGTGTCATAACGTAGTAAATAACGTTATTTCAGCTTTTCCGCTTCCAATAAAACACATGACAACCCTTAATATATTTGGGTATCCATCTGAATTTATAGTATTGCCTAAAAATATTGCGAAATGCGGTTTTTATCGCCACCTAAATAAATTACATTAACTGTAAAAGTTAGCAGTATCCGGCGGCCGGCTAACAAAGCATAAACAGAGTGTCAGATAACGGGGTTTTGTGACCTTTGTCACTACCATAGACTGTATATATAAAGGTCACTACCCGATCTGTAGCCCTGCCCTATCTGCAGTGCGCATGTGCGAGATGGTCCGCCATATTTGACAACTACATACAGCAACTCTAATAGGACACTTGACACAGTGGCTTTTGGCAAAGTAGAAAAAGAACCGAGAGAGATGAGTTAATGTTATTACAACGTGACTTCACTATTATTTAAGAACTCTTTTTATTGGGTTCTTTTATTTGGGTTTAAGTACATTGTCAGAATAAGTGAGAAATTGATTTAACTTCTGTTAGACAGCTATCATACTGAATAAATATTTACTGTGAATGTATGCAAAAATGTATAGCATATAGCTATACATACACTATAGCTGTCTAACAGAAGTTAAATCCATTTCTCACTTATTCTGACAATGTACTTAACCCCAAATAAAAGAACCCAATAAAAAGAGTTGTTAAATAATAGTGAAGTCACGTTGTAATAACAATAACTCATCTCTCTCGGTTTTCGGAGTTTTCTTTGTGTGCTTTGCCAAATGCCACTGTGTCAAATGTCCTAGTTGGGTTGCCGTACGGAGTTGTGCAATATGGCGGACCATCTCGCACATGTGCACTGCAGATAGGGCAGGGCGGCAGATCGGGTAGTGACAACCTTAATAGTTGAATTAATCTATATGACAACACAACACAACAGTTTGAATGAATTATAAACTTATAGTCATATCATATACAACACTGTAATAAGACTCACCATGTTCATAAAAACTTGTAAACTTTGTTAGCGTCCGCTGTTTACACGGTGGACGCTAACAATGCTGGGGTCAGATAACGGAGAGTTTGTAAGGATAATAGTTGAATTAATCTATATGACAACACGACACAACAGTTTGAATTAATTATACACTTATAGTCATATCATATACAACACTGTAATAAGACTTACCATGTTTGTAACCACTCGTAAACTTGAATGATTTCCTCGTTGTTATTACGATGTACGCCCCCTTCTTTAGGAGCCGCGAACGTGATTGGCCGGCGAATGATGGAGCTGGCGCTGCCATTGGCTGACGAATGTTGGAGCTGGCTCTCTGATTGGCCATATTCTCAACATTTCTCAAAATTAGACAGGTCGCAGTCTCCTCTGGAGGCGTGGGTTCGAATCCCACTTCTGACAACAACCTTTTGAGACGTGCTCAGTTGTAAACAATCACATGCTGTTAAACACATGATCCATAAATAGTCTAAAACGACACTAGATGGCTATAGCTTCTCAGTGACCTACTTTCTACTCGGTTTTTTTATATCTGGGACTTTATTTTTGGAGTAATATGTTTAACCTTTCACCATATCTTGAATGTTGAAGCTTAAAATAGAGAGTTGTCAAGCTCAAAGCTTTAATACTTGTAGGTTGAGAGCAAATATAATTATAAATTGTATTAATGTATGATTATGCAAAAGAAAAAATTGTTTTAATGTTTATATGAAGGACAACGTTTTACCTTTTGTTTAATTAGTAACAAATGTCAACTTAATTATATACTGGTTGAATCGTATAATTTAGATCAGCGTTTGACAATGATAAATGGACTGAAACTTAATACTATTTTATCAATATTTTATAATTTTGAAACGATTTTATGTGATGACATCACTTCCTATGTAAGGAAGCGGTTCTCGGCCGAGAGGTCTCCTCTGGAGGCGTGGGTTCAAATCCCACTTCCGACAACTTTTTGAGACGTGCTCGGTTGTAAACAATCACATGCTGTTGGTAAACACATGATCCATATAATCCACATGGTTGAATTGTATAATTTAGATCGGCGTTTGACTATGATAAATGGACTGAAACTTAATACTATTTTATCAATACTTTATCATTTTGAATGAACTTTGATGTGATGACACAAAGGATATTGTGGCATTATATATTTTTTAAATATTTTTTATTAACCATTTGTGTCATACTGTCAACAAATCTGTAACAGAAAGTTACTACAGAAAATGTTCAAAATGCTAAATGTCCATAGAGATGAAAAGAAATGAAACTAAACAAAGTGTCGGAGGCCAAAGCCAAACCCAAATCGAGCCTTGTGTAGTCTTTGTGTTTTCATAAATGAATCCTGCTCTCTTATCCGTCTCTATTAAACCAGAATCTAAAGTGCCAGTTTTAATGAGGAGTTTTCCGACAATGTCGCCAACTGCAAGAACACCAGACAACGGTTAATGTTAAGTGACGATTGCACCTTTATTAACATGGTGAAGAATCATTAGTAAAGGTCGGCGTGACAGGCTGGAGGAGGTTTTGGTGCTCAGGTGGCGCCTGAAAAGAGAGCAACACACAGAGAGAAAAGACTCATTAAATCACAAGGACGTCACGGGCATGAATCGCAGCAGCTTTTTATCCTTCAGCTGGGCTTCCACCTGCAAGTTGAAGGTGATTCAAAAGCAATAATTCAAGAAAGGTCTTTTGATTACTTTCGATTTCACCTATTTTCACCAGGAATAATTAAAACATATTTTTCGTCCCATGTTTTTGCTGCAAACGTCATAGGCCACGCCCACATTCCTCAGTCATTATGATACTTGACATCTCAGTTAATACTCCCCCAAAAGCACGTCTTTCAAATGTCTTAAAAGGATGTCCATCTGTTTTAGAGTTGTACATGTGTGGTATTTTTGGTGCCCCCTATGGGTCAGGGTAATAATGCTTTGGTATGCTTATTCCTCAAAATGGACTTAACATACCCACATACATTTGGGATAATTGGATAAATTGTTGGTGAGTTATGAACATTTCCTTTTAAGCCCCGCCTTTTGCGATGACGTTTTGATTGGTGGCGGCCATGTTTTTTGATTGAACTATCTAATTTCCGCTGATTCTGTATACCAAATTTGGTGTTGCTATACTCCACTCTTCAACAGTTTTAGTCATTTTACCGTTTTTCACATTATGCTAATTTGCAAAACATCGAAGTATTATTTTATCGAAGTCGATTGGATGCTTGGACACCGCTCGGTTGCTCCGGCCCTATTCAGCAATTGGACGCCACAATTAAACATGGGCTTTTAATATTTAGATTTGATAGAGATAACCTAAAGCCCCATGTGCACATTCATTACAATGAACGCAGGCACTCTTTATTGGGCGTTAACCTCACATATGTCCTGCTTCTGTAAATCCACACCAATAAACCAATGTGTTTTAATCAACAGCTGAAAATAGTCCCAAACAAATGCGTAATTTTCTCCGGTTTGATTTATGGTTGATTTAAAAACTACAGAAATGACTGATACTGAAAAATATATTTGATTTGTTAGCTGTTTTTAAAGATCTTCAGTAAGAACTCAAGTGTGACACAATGGTTTTTCATGGGATTGGTTGAAAGCACTAACAATATAGAGTAACTTATCCTTTTTTTTTAGATGCTGTCCTTCATCTTAAATCCTGTTTGCCGTCACAGACCAAACAGAGTCCATCTGGAGCACCAAGCTGTCAAAAATCAACCTCTAACAGTTGAATGTAAGTAGTACTTAACCCTGACACAAACTCTCTGCATACTCGTAGCAGTAAGCTCTTGGAAGGCCGCTGGAATTAATAAAACACGAAGTTGTTAAATTATTCACATTGGACGGATGTGTGTCATCACTGCCACTGTCATCTCCTGAATTATCACCCAGAATTTGGTCCCCTTGGCAGTTCTGGTGTTTCAGAGGTCATGAACTCTGAGCACAGATGCTAATAGAGGAGAAAAAAGACAACATCGGCTGCTTGAGTGACATTGATCTTGCAGTAGAGAGACAGTGTCGTCCCTCGGAGACCACATTCAAGTACAGAGGCGACATTTCTCTATTTCCACTGCGTGAAAAGAGGGGAAAAGTTCAAACGCCTTGTACTCTGACTTACCTGTAACATCAAAACCTAATATAATCAATATTGCCTTATAAGTACACCAAAAAAATATAAAATTAGGCTATAAATCCACACTAGACTGTGACGATTAAGATGGACTTTTGATAAATGATAAATGGACTGAAATGTAACTATAAATGGTCTTTCTTCCATTATTTCGAATTTATTTTGAGGTGATGACATCACTTCCTATGTCAGGATGGCCGAGCGGTCTAAGGCGCTGCGTTCAGGTCGCAGTCTCCTCTGGAGGCGTGGGTTCGAATCCCACTTCTGACAACAGCCTTTTGAGAACCACCTAATTAACATTTGAAGCAAACAGATTCTTCAACATTTCTATACAGGGATTATACACAAGTTATAATAGATAAATTGCCTTCTGATGTTATAAGTGTTGTCCGTCCGAGACCACATTCATGTACAGCAGGGGGGTCAAACTCAAATACACAGTGGGCCAAAATAAAAAAATCAGTAGTAGTCGAAGGCCGGACTGGTTCAATGTTTATTGCAAAACTTATTGAAATGAACTTATTGCACATATTAAACCTGGTACTAACGAAGCTTAAATTATTGCCTATAAAAACAACATTAAACATTAAATAATCAGTTGCATTCATTTCTTATGGCTCTATCTGCAGATTTTCCGGAGTCATTTCTTATGATTACATTTTTCCACAGGCCAACAACAGCTTCAAAAAAACGATTTCCCTCAAAGAAACAAACCTGCCCTGTTGTCGTGAGACAGTTTGCTGCTGTGATGCTAGTTCAAGCCAGACACTTGGCATCTCATCTTGGGTGCAAGTTCATCAATGTTTGGGCTCAGGCTCTGAGCTGAGGAAACCCTCAGGGTTGAGTGAAGGTGTGCGTGCAATATACCGGCGGGCCAGATCTAATAGTAATTAGAAAATATCCTGCGGGCCGAAATTAAATCCACCAAGGGCCTGATTTGGCCCCCGGACCTTGAGTTTGACACATGTGATGTACAGAGTCTACATTTTTCTATTTCCACTGCATGGAAAGAGGGGAAAAGATCAAACGCCTCGTCCTCTAACTTACCTGTTACATCAAATCTAATATGATCAATATTTACATAGAATTATATTCAAAAAGTGTCAAAAAAACGTTTATTTGGCTATAAATCCTCACTAGACTGTGATGATTAAGATGGACTTTTGACCAGTGTAAGGAAAACTTCCTCTTTTCGAAATTGAGCCAGTGGGGGAGGGTTTAAGCAGAGATTCCCACTTGGTTCCTTAAACACTGCGGCTCCAACAGAGAGCTGTTTTTGTTATGCTAAAATGTGCTCCTTGATTTAGTTTGTAGCTAAAAACGTTGCATACGGCAGGATGTGGATGCAAAGTGAGGACATTGCAGAGTCAGGTAAGACTGGATAACTGCTGCCGAGATACTTAAGTTTATTTACATGATGACCTTTGCAGTTTTCTGTATCTGAATAATTCATGTTCTTTTAGTGTGGACTTGTTAAGTAAGATCATCTAAATGTTTTACTTCTTTAATGTTGGAGATTTAGTGAAAATAAAAACATCTTTCATTCAATATAAACAGGTTTTATAATTTGTATTTGTATTGGGAAATACACTGATTTATTATTTAGAAAAGTAATACCAATCTCCAAATATAAAGCAACAGCAAGTTAGCTTAGCATAAAGACTGGAAACAACAACCTGGCAAACAAAAATTACCCTACCGGCCAAATAGAGTTCACTTATCTTGTTTTTGTGTGTTTTAACCCACACTAAAACAGTGTTAGTCTGACTTTCTGCTTGTACCTTTTGATTGGTACAAGCTATTGGACCTTGACTAAGATAAATGGACTGAAAATAAACAAGAAAAATGAACCGTATATTATCATTTTGATTGTGTTTAGAGGTGATGACACCACATTTTATGTCAGGATGGCCGAGCGGTCTAAGGCGCTGCGTTCAGGTCGCAGTCTCCTCTGGAGGCGTGGGTTCGAATCCCACTTCTGACAACAACCTTTTGAGAACCACCTAATTAACACTTGAAGCAAACAGATTCTTCAACATTTATATACAGGGATTATACACAAGTTATAATAGATAAATTGCCTTCTGATGTTATAATAAGTGTTGTCCGTCCGAGTTTACAGAGTCTACATTTTTCTATTTCCACTGCATGAAAAGAGGGGAAAAGATCAAACGCCTCGTCCTCTAACTTACCTGTTACATCAAATCTAATATGATCAATATTTACATAGAATTATATTCAAAAAGTGTAAAAAAAACTTTTATTTGGCTATAAATCCTCACTAGACTGTGATGATTAAGATGGACTTTTGACCAGTGTAAGGAAAACTTCCTCTTTTGGAATCCCACTTCTGACAACAACCTTTTGAGATCCCCTCAATAACACTTGAAGAAAACACACTCTCCAACATGTCCATACTATAGGCATAATACATTAAATGCTTAAATCATGGAGATGCTGCTCGACTTTCTGCTTCTCTTGGAGGATATCAAGGTTCCCATTTATCCTTCAGTAAGTTAGCACATCTTCCTGAACATGTCAAACTTTAGCTTTAGGATATCTGAGCTCTTATTGTTTTCAAATAAAGGGAAGTAGGAGACAGACACTCCTATGAGTCGGAGGTGACAGAAAGTGAAATGTGTTTTTCAGGATCCTTTTCATGATTTCACTTCCTGTATTTACTTGCCGATCTCCTTCAGACGACCTCATGAAGTTCCCTCTCTGTCACGTTGACAGGATGTGAGAATCTTCCATGATCTCGCCTCCCAGCAGAGCGTCGTCTCTGTTGCCACGGCCCGTTTGACAATCCGTCTGTTGTGTGTAGATAAAAGGATTTCCTTTCCCCCACAGAGTCTGACGGAGAGGGGGGTTTATCTTCCGATGATGAGGGAGACATTCAGGTATAATCGTTAGTGACAGGAAGTAAAACTGCTTAATTAATGTCGCTTTGTTATGTGATGTGAAATGGAAACAAAGTCCAATTACTTCTTTCTATGTGAGGGTAAAAAAGAGAAATCACACAAATCTAAAAGGCTTACTTTGGTTAAACAGAAAACATAAAATTGTTCTTTAAATTCACATTTTTAAACAAAAATAAATAAAGCAAACATTTCCAAAAGCAAAAAAATTGCAGGATAAAATAAAAAGCTTTATTACAAACTTGAAAAATACGATTGCAACAGTCTGACGATCTAAATACAATCAAATGCATCAATTTGTTGTGACATAATTAATCTCTTTCTCCTGGTTTGTTGTTAGTGCGAGATCCTGGAAATTCAGAGGGATGAAGCTAACCAGAGACTGTCTGAACTGGAGGAAGGTGCGGATCATTTGTTCCTTTTCCTCACCTGCCTGTCCCCATTCAGGACCATATGGGGGGTGGAGACTATCCCAGCATGTGTCACTCTCAATTTCACATCTATAGACAACATTAAGCCTCCACTGCATGGACAAAAATAAGAAAGGCTACAATAAATGTAGATGCGCACATACAAATAATCTACTCTTCTAAATGACTCTCTCCCTTTTAATTTGCAGCGTCGAATCAGCTCTTGAAAGAGATAAATGTTCTGGAGATGCAGTTCCAGATGGAGCGCTCCTGCAGGGAGAGTGCTGAGGCGCTGGCTGTCAAAGTACGCCTTTTTGTAGCTGCAGTGTTGACCCTTACTTCCCTTAATCCTTACCTTGTGGCCTTTTTCCTTAAATTCTCATTTCCCCCCTATGTCAGTACTTGTCATTTTCCTTTACCATCCTTTCTGTTCCTGTCATTTCCTTCCCTATGTTGTGTCCTTTGCTTTTCTTTGCTATGATCCTTTCCTCACTTTCCTATGTTCTTTTTATTTCCTTTTTCCTTTCTCTTCCCTTTCCTCCACCTCTTACCTATGTTTCCTTTCTCTTCCCTTTCCCCCACCTCTCACCTATGTTTCCTTTCTCTTTCCCTTTCCCCCACCTCTCACCTATGTTTCCTTTCTCTTCCCTTTCCTCCACCTCTTACCTATGTTTCCTTTCTCTTCCCTTTCCCCCACCTCTTACCTATGTTTCCTTTCTCTTCCCTTTCCTCCACCTCTCACCTATGTTTCCTTTCTCTTCCCTTTCCTCCACCTCTCACCTATGTTTCCTTTCTCTTCCCTTTCCCCCACCTCTCACCTATGTTTCCTTTCTCTTCCCTTTCCTCCACCTCTTACCTATGTTTGCTTTCTCTTCCCTTTCCCCCACCTCTCACCTATGTTTCCTTTCTCTTCCCTTTCCTCCACCTCTTACCTATGTTTCCTTTCTCTTCCCTTTCCTCCACCTCTTACCTATGTTTCCTTTCTCTTCCCTTTCCTCCCACCTCTTACCTATGTTTCCTTTCTCTTCCCTTTCCTCCACCTCTCACCTATGTTTCCTTTCTCTTCCCTTTCCTCCACCTCTCACCTATGTTTCCTTTCTCTTCCCTTTCCCCCACCTCTCACCTATGTTTCCTTTCTCTTCCCTTCCTTATTTCCAATGTCCTTTCCTCTGCTCTTCTGGCATGTCAAGAGACTTAACGTAAGAAGCGGGAAACTGCGACTTGTACACCGAGTGATTTACTCCAACCTTTGTCATTTTCAGTAGATTTCAATACAAACACACAGCAGCCTCCACACTCACACTGGTCTCCTCTTGTTGCCAAGGTGACCAAAGAGAACAAAGTGCTGAAGAGAAAAAGCCAGATGATGATGCCGCTCATCCCGGAGCTCCCTGAAAACTTCGATGGCTTGACCTTTGACCAGGAGACCGACCCCGCGGTTAACGGTGAGGACGTGTTCGACCTCGGTGAGGAGACGCTGCTGCAGAGTCAGGCCAGCATCGCAGGTTAGGAAACACTGGGAGAACTGCCATTGCTTTGTCTGCCTGGTAAAGAAAATACAAAATGGTATAATCTGTGGTGTGTGTGTGTGTGTGTGTGTGTGCGTGCGTGTGTGTGTGTGTGTGTGTGTGTGTGTGTGTGTGTGTGTGTGTGTGTGTGTGTGTGTCAGAGTTGCAGGCATCAGTGGACGGTCTGCTGGCTGAGAAGCTGCAGCTGGAGCAACGGGTGGAGGATCTGACAAAAGAGCAGGTCCACCTCACAGAACAGGTACATCATTGTGTGTGTGTGTGTGTGTGTGTGTGTGTGTGTGTGTGTGTGTGTGTGTGTGTGTGTGTGTGTGTGTGTGTGTGTGTGTGTGTGTGTGTGTGTGTGTGTGTGTGTGTGTGTGTGTGTGTTGTGTGTGTGTCTGTCTGTGCGTGTGTGTGCGTGTGTGTGTGTACCTAGTGTTATATCACCTGGCTTTTTTTCTCAGCTAGCTCTGGAGGTTGAGGAGAAAGAGGCCATCCTGAGGAAAATTAGCAAACAGAGCAAGACCATGAATAAAATCAAACGAGGTGAGTCCTAATCACACTTGGAATCCAAATAATAATTTAATTCATTTCTTTAACCATATTTTTTTCAACCAAATAACAATTGGATATGATTTTTTTAGAATCTAAAATGTTCTGAAAAAGACACCTTTTTTTATTAGTTTTGTACAACCATCAATCCAAAACCTAAAACTTCATTTCAACCGAATTACAAAAACAAACACAATTGGTTTTACAATTTAAGCTACTGAGGATTTGAGATTTTTTCGCTGAATACAATAAGCAGCAAATCCTCATAATTGAGAGACTTGAATAAGAAAACAAATGGCATGTTTGCTTCATAATTGACTAAACATGGTTATCATTGTTTCAGTTTCTGCAGATTGACTGATCTATTGATAAGCAGTGGATCATTTCAGTGTATTTCATTTTTATATTTCTTTGGAATACCACTTATTTTTCTGTGTTTTCTGTCTTTGTGTGTGTGTGTGTGTACATGCAGTCTCTCAGCTTGTCACAGATGAGTTCACGGACATGTCTCAGAAGCTGGAGCTGGAGCAGGGCCTCCGGCAGCACGCTGAAGTCTTCGCCCACCAGGTGTGAGCGCGTGGCATGGCTGTCTTTGTTTTTGTGTTCGGTGTGTATGTGTGTGTTTTCTGCACAATACAAAACATTTTGTCACACATCCACACCTATAGATACTGAAGGGTGACAGGTCGTGCCACGGGAGCGTTGGTTGACCTTCGGGCGGCAATGGCGTACAGACGGACTCTCAGACGGGGGGAAGAGGAGGGAGACACACACACACACACACACACACACACACACACACACACACACACACACACACACACACTTCCGCTGTCAGCTGATGTGGCGGGACAGGAGAAGGGATCTCCATTCTCTGTTTTCACACCGATGACACTTTGGTCAAATCCAGGCTCTGTGTGTGCGGCAAAGCGTTCACACACACAAGACAAAAGCAGACACACACTCGTACACAAGCTCTAAAAACACCAATTCACTTGAATCCACATACCCAAACACACACACACACACCCCCCAGCTGCTCCTATAATGAAGGCCTTTTCTTTCAAAAAACATCTCTGTTCCTTTCCCTTCCCATTTAGCCCCTCCCCATCCCATAATTAGTGGTCATCACCGCGGCTGAAGGAGAATAGTGCTTTTTAAGCACAACCTGTCTTTGCCTGACACCTTTATGTTTTTCCGAGCATGTAGCAATTGTCGCCTTTGTGCGCAGCGTCCTCCATTTACCGGACAGGCGCACAATGGGCCGCCTCGCAGGGGTCCTTACCTGTGAAAAGGACCCCCAACTGTTCACACAATCCCCCCCCCCTTTGCTCTCAATTCATGGTAAAAGACCCCCCTGTGCTGAATGCCTCTTGTGTGCACTACTATTTGTCTGTTTTCATGTGTTTTGAAAACACCAACCATTCACACCTCTCCTCTGTGATGCCGGTGGTATAATGACGCAGGGCCTCAAAACAGGAAACAATTTGGTGTGTAGGGCTTTGTCTCTTTGTGTCCCTCTGACTGTGTGTTTGTGTGTATGAAATAATTGTACTAATTGCTGTGTGAAAATTGCTCTCTGCTGAAGGGAGACCCGAGATGAGAGCGGTGTAATTTGCAGCGTGTGCTGACGCAGAGCTCACTAAAACCTGCTGCTTCAGACGCAGTAGAAACACAGAAATGAAAACCACTTTTTCTCACACTTCCTGCTCTCTGATCACCGAGCTGCTCTCATAAGTGTCTGCAGTCCGTTTATGAATCCAATATGGTCAGAATACACTGAGATCATGCCTTCTGTGTTATATACTCAATTTACGAAGGGCTTACAATTACTGGTAACACATTTTTCAAGGTTTTTAAGGTCACTTGTTTATTTATGACTTGACTGCATGTATTACCCTGTCTCTTGAATTTGCGTCTGTAAGTCTTTCACATGTTGTCTGCTGCATGAGGGAAAAAAATAGTTTGCAAATTACTAACAATATATCTATAATCCGATTGCTTAATATCCACATTTTTAACAGTAATACAAATATTTAATATCACAAAAGCTCATGCGAAGGTCAAAATGTTTGTTGATTGCACTTTGATTGCACTTTACTCATTCATCAGCTCAAAGCCGCACTTATAGCTCTTGCTTGTGTATTTATCTGTCACGGTGGAGAAAGAATCTACTTTTGTTCGTGAATTAAGGCATTTGTTCTCACAAGCCACTTATTATAATGTGGATAAAATGATGCTTTGTCTCACAGCTAATTCATCCTGTTTGTTCGTACCCTTCAATGAAATGGATTTGTAATTCCAAGTAATTGTTCAGTCAAACACTAGTTTGAAAACACTTCCCCTGCATCATGACAACCTCCTGGTGGGAGAACATTAACAACCAGCCAGTCAGATCTCACTTAAATCGCTGCTCTAATTGTGGCTCGTTTTCATTAATGTGTTTCTTCTTCCATTTTCGTAGAAGCAGATAATCATAAAGAAGTGTTTAAAGATGTCTCAATGGGAATTTGGTGTGTCTCAGATGTTGGTGCAGAAGGAGGCGGCTCACAGCGAGTGTGTGACGCAGCAGAGCTCGGACACCGGCCTGCAGCTGCAGCGGGCGCTGGAGCAAATCTCCAACATCAGCACGGCACTGTGTGATATACGGCGCCTCTACCAGGAGCAGGTGTGTGCAGATGGGATCAAAAGAGTGTGTCATGCTATAGTTGAAATGGTCTATTTATGTTCTTCATCTTGTATGCTGTTTCTTTCATCCCTGTATTCAGGTTAAACCGAGTCAGGGCGCTGGGGATGAGAGCAGCATTGTCTCTGAGCTGCAGAACCTGAGAGCAGAGCTGGAGAGCAGCGAGGAGGAGAGGAAGACTTTGGAGACGCAGCTGTCTGAGGCTAACAGCACTGTCACTCAGCTCCAGGAGGAAGGTAGCTGCAAGAAGAGGAGACCTTTGCACACACATGCTTAATGGAAGAATACAGTCAGAAGCAATATTGTTAAATGTTGACTCTCAAACACTCATGCAACACCCCAAAAAACACCAGTGTTGGCTTCCATTAGCTAATGACACTAGTGTGTGATTGGTGGTCATTAAAAAAAAAGAAGAAGCTTAATTTAAAGCTTAATACAGTGGTGAAGGAATAAGTCCTTAACCCGGCAATGAATTAGCATTTTAGCACTTCCAGTTCCCTGGACTCGAGCCTTTTTGGTTAGCTTTCCGACATAAGCTCTGTGGTTCATACAAACATACAAACACAGCTGTTATCTGGTCAGCGCAGTTCAAAGTTAAAATTATTCTGAGTGGTACAAATTCCATGATTTAATATCATTTAGTTTTTCCTGGGTGATTTGTCTCTTGGCTCATGATACTAATAGCAGGAATGTTTTCGCTGTCTTTTTTTGTAGTGAAACAGTTACAAGATACACTGAAGGAGGATGAACAAGAGGAGAAAACCACTCCTGCTGCCCCTCCCCCACCCCCTCCTCCACCTCCTCCTCCCCCACCTCCTCCCCCCCCTCCTGCTGTCACCAAGTATGAACCGTCTTCATCATTGTGTATATACTGTATCAGAGGCTTTTTACACCCTTATGACTGCTTTTAAATCATGAATTGTATGACAATATGACACCTTTGACCTCTCTGTGCCAAGTACACTTGATTTCCTGAGAAGCAGAAGACAAGAAAGCGCCAGCAAAGCCGATCAAAACAGTGAGTCTCACACTTCAACTGCAACGATAACAAATACGCTTACTTTACTCAGAAGCTATGATTTATCCTCAATGTATATCTGTTTTTGGGTTCTCAGATTTATATGACAATTTCTTTCTGGTTTCTCAAAACACAATACTTGTACTTCTATTTCAATTAAACACACATTATATGCTCTCAAAGTCCTTTAAAATATTTCATCCATCTCTCATCTTTAAGAAGCAGAACCTTTGGACATGAAGACGAGAGCGGTGGATGAAATGATGGAGAGAATAAAAAAAGGAATCGTCCTGAGGCCCATCATGAGAGTACAGGTGGATCAATTGTATTTTTAACCGTTTGAACCAGGACAGTGCACATCGATGAACACTTTAAAACAAAACAATGCTTACAAGCGTAAATGAGCCGGATTTTAGCTTTAAGCTCATTTCCATCCGCAGTTCCCGTCACATACAACATACAAGAACATGACATTTATATACATAGCAAAAATAAATACATGACATGCAGAAAGAGCACGAGCAGCATACAAGCATTTATGGCAGTACAATGTAGCAGCTACGATATATAAAGTGCAGGAGAAGATAAAAGTGCTACCTAAAGTGCAGGAGTAGATACCCCTGTATAAAAGTGCATTTAGCGGTGATTACACGTCTGTTTGTTGCTCAACCATTCTTTATTCACAAATACTTTTTAAATGTATTCGCTCATTTACATTCCCCATTGTGTGGCATTTATATATGAACAGAGAAACTTGTATAAGAAAAAAAACCTTAAGTAATAAATACTAACGTCTCAAATCTGACTTGTTCTGCTTACAGGAAGATGACAGTGCGTGGAAGGTCAGTTAGCCTCATATTCCCAATTGTTGAATTTATTTTGTATTATTAAGCAGTTGACACAGGATTCCCAAATATTCCCAAATCTTCTTGCAGGACCAGAAGAGTGAAAACAGAAAGTCAGCTATCGTGGAGCTGAAAGGAATGCTGGTAATGGACTCAGATTAGTGTTGCAAAGGCAAAACACTTTTGACAAACAGCAATTTATTCCACTTTTACAAACATTTTGTAACATGTATACACACCAGGACAACATGAAACATCAGAAACTCCGCAGAGTGCCATCCAGACGGGGAATGGGCCGAAATGTTGGCGAAGCGGAGCTGCTGCAGGTGCTGCAGAGGAGGAGGAGAGCCATGGGGGACCAGCAGGACCAAACACAGGGTACACTCACATTGTCCTCTTTGTCCGTTTTTTTTTGGAATTTCTTCAATGGATTTTGGTTTGCTATTTTTGTAGGTTCTTGCGTGTCTACAAGCAGTCTGTTTTTAGTCATTAGCACGAGAGCACGACATACACTTTAACAGAAAGCAAGTTAAAGCTTTCAAATGTTTGGAGATATTCGTTTTATACTTTGAGTGAATTCATGCTTTTATTGTAATTGCATTCAAATGTACTTGGTAATGCACGGTGACATATAACATTTTAAAAGAGTCACGCAAAAACGCTTTAATGTACTTAAAAGGAAAGATAAAAAGTGAAAAGTAGCCATCAGTTCCCCTCCAGGTTCAACATTTGATCTGCACGCAATGAGTATTTTAACCTCTGCAATATTAATCATCAGAACAAAGTGCTTTATCATATCATTGTGGTCAACTGCAACCGTCTTCTCTCATTGTCTGGTTTCGTGCATAACTGGAGATAATCTCTTCCTTCAGAGCCTCAGACCGGTGCTCAGTGTGTCCCAGCAGCAGGAGACTGTCCCTGGGCTGGAGAGAGCAGCCGCGCCCCGGTGCTCCGGAGGCTGAAGCAGAACCGAGAGAAGAGAGACTCCCGCATCCGAGCATCAGCACTGATCCTCGGATGAGAAAACTGAGAGCAGCTTCAGGAAGTCCCATTGTCAGTGCTGTAGTTATTGCAGGGTCCCGCAAGAATCCTGAATATCTCTTGTTTTACTTCAAAGAAACTGAATGCATATTGGCAGATTTATTTAATTAATACATCTATGCACCGTTTGATTCATCAGTTACAATAAAATGTGGGTTGATCTTGGTCTCTTTTGTGTAATGTCAGAAAACAGTGCATTTTATTTGACTTGTCCAGAGAGTACCACATGGGACGTGTTCATTGAAAAACATTATAAAATCCCACATTTGGACCTAGAGAAGAACGCACAAAAAAACGTTCTTCCAAAAGCTGTTTAACCCAGGTCGGCTTCAAATAGCCCGTACTTGTTGCGTGTCAAAGGAAATGAAACTCATTCAGCTGTGGTTAATGTCCCATATCAGGCTTTTTGGGTTTCAGATGATCTAAGTGCAAGTCTCATGATTTTATATGCTACAGAATATACATGAAGAATATCCGAGCCATAAAAAAAGGCTATAATATGAATGCCTTTACCCACTTCTCTCCCGAGGTGTCGGCCTCTTAAAGCTCGATCCGGCAGAAGGCTGGAGGCTGCTATTTATTTAGGCACATTAAAGCTCTCACACCCCGAGCCCAGAGGTGTCGTTGAGATAAGAGCCTCCGGTGATCTGGCTGCTTCCTCCTGAAAGTATCTTTAAATGCGGAAGGTCGCTTTTTGTTTTCTCACCTCCTCACAAATACTGCATATATGTGTGCATGCATGCATGGTTGAATACCTACATCGTACCCTCACACCACATAATCTACCTATCCATCTTTGTTAAAAGCATTTGAAATTACTCTCACCTTTGACTCCGACACCATTTTAGTGTCTTCACACTGTTTCACATTATATATTTACTTTATTTAGCTCTTTTTACTAGAAGGTCTGCCTTTTCACTCCCCAGCATAAATTGTTTATTGTTTCCCTCCTCAGTCTCAGAGGTGTTGGCTTTGGGATGCAGTAATGTATTCTACCCTCTGTTATTGAATCAATGCATATGAAAGAAGTGTGTATGAGAGAAATAGCAGGAAATGGAGACATGAAAGTAATGAGAGGTTCTGAAACTGATACTGGATATCTGAGAATACTGATAGAAACAGGAAAGATGTGTTGACTAGAGACACCAGTGACACCCATGAACTTGCTGTGAATCTTTATAATATTGCCCTGTACGGTTTCCCCCCTCCTTTCCTGAATGATGATCTTACATTATATCTCCCAGGATCATTAACAAATAAAAAGACACATTATTTAGTAGTAAGAAAATAGGGTTGTATCAACAACCTTTACCAAAGGTACAATTCCTGAAACCAATAGGAGCATACTGAGGGCCTAGAAAATACATGACAACAAGACAGAAATGTTACACATGTATTACCATACAAGTCCAACAAGATGAGTTTTTTTGTGTTTGATTTTAAAGGAGAACTTTTTCAGGTTCCCACCCGTATTTTGGCTTTCTATGAAAATAATGTTGACGTGCATGTTGAGTGTTCAACATTTTTTTTCCCTCAAACTGTCAAGTGACTAAACCACCACACCATTTTATTTTTGGGTACCATATTTTGTCTTGGTAAACCACACTTTTAACATAGTAGGACATGTTCTTTTTGAATGGGCTCCCATAGTGAAGCCCTGCATTGAATTAATCAGGATGTTAAGTTATGTTTCAGTGTCAAAAGGAGGTAGAGCTTTTTTAATGCATCAATGCAAGGTTTGAGGTTCGAGCACTGCTGTCCACAAGATGTGTCTACAATGGGTGAATGAATGGGATAGTAGTGCAACAACATACATTGATAATTGCAGAGTTTGGTACAATGATATTTCACATGACGGAAATATAGATACAACCTGGAGAAATTATGCTCTTTAATATTTATTTCTCAGAAGCCAAATACACCTTATGAGTTGAGTGCCAGACTCTTGCAGCTGTCCTCCAACCAAAGATGGCGCTGCATCAAAACACCTCTCTCCCTCCTCCAGACAGGCCCCTTCTTCTCTGCTTTCCTCAAAACAAACAGGCAGGAACTTTGACCGGTGTTCCCGAGCTAGTAACTAGCCTGCTAGCTTTGACTAGTTTTCTGTCTTTTTTTCATATTGTTGTGTGTTGTAGCACATGCGGAGAGATGTGGTTTATTTATTTACTCAGCTGGCTGTCGCTAGTCATCCAAGTGTCCTTCGTTACGCTAGCAATAGGTAAGTGCATGTTTTAAAATCCATGCAAATGCTAGGTAGCTAATTAATAACGCTAGCGGACCATTTCAGTAAGTGAAGCTGCAACATTTAATAATAGCTAGGCTTTGTTTGCTGCCCTGCACCTGTATTGGCACTACACAAGTGTGTTAATAATAAAATGCAATTACAAATAATAATCCTACCTTATGATTAAATAAGGTACATTGTGTTCGTTTACCTCACTACTGTGGGCTCGCTAAGCTAGCAAGATTTCCACCACAGGAAGAACGAATACATGATGCATTTTTAATTTTCTAAAATGACAACAGCACATTTTTTAAAAACAGTAGTCATTAAAGTGAAGAATGTATTTTTGTTAGTTTTTGACATGTCCTAAACTTAAGTAGTTTTCGTTGTACATGGGGAAACAAATGTTTCATGATGCTAAGTAAGCTAGCATTTAGCTTTCTCTCTTCAGTCTTTTTATCATTGTAAACGATTCAAAACGTCGATGCCTGAGTGAGCATGACAATAGTGAGGTCCTAAAGTCTGATATGCAATAAAGATTTGATATAATAGCATCAGTATTCAGTTGGAAGGTTAGCATAACTAATATAAACTAGACAATGTTGCTTCAAATCTAACTAGCATGTTTTTTTTACAATGTTAACAATATGACATTCCCGTAGGTTAGTCGACAAACTGGATATTAAGCATTTGGCTCACATAGTTACAAACAGTATGTTAATATGTTGGGTTTGCTTCAAAACTTTATCAAAGAGCTTGTCTGTCTGTCCACGTTGCAAGTTAGTTACCTGGCCACGTAACACACTCACTCTCACTCTCACTCTCTCACACACACACACACACACCCACACACACACACACACACACACACACACACACACACACACACACACACCACACACACACCCCACACACACACTCCTGCAGCTGTCAGGTGTGGCTGCTGACTGTCAAACCCTGCTAGTATCAGTCACTCCACTCCAGCCCAGCTGTGTGTGGTTGTGTACTTGTTTCTTCTTTTGTTGTTCTTATGTTTTACTTTCTGCACATACTTGTGTATGATAACCTTGTGTTTTTACCAGCTTAGTTCTCTTTGTTCCTCGCTGTTATATCTATTTTTTGTATACATAAAGCTGACTATGATTCTGATAATAGACAGGATCAAGGAACTAAGATTAGCATGTTTGCTAAACTGAATCAGATAAAAAAAATTAAATAAGGCAACCTCCTTTTATCAGTGTTTAGTAAAACATTTACCAATGCTATACAGTTCACTTATCATCATTTAATAGCTTTTGATTTGCCAGAATATGAGCCGAGAAAATTCTGATGTCTTTTTCTGACTCTGCAAGATTTTTGTTTGCAGTTAGCAACTTAATAACATTAATACGGCACCCTTGCCTTTTCATGTGAGAACTTATTTGACATTTAGCAATGGATTCAGAGCATTTACAATAATACCCAATAGACAGAGTTAAACACCAGCCAAAGTGGCTTTCTGTCACCTCCTATTAATGACCGGCCCTTTCTTGCCAATCATAAGCTGCTTTGTAGCATTGCAACAGTGCAACTCTGTAATCAAAACTAGGTGAAGGAGCAGTACAACCCATGATTGCCCTGACCCATACTTTATTACGTCGGTATAATCATGCAGTACTTTTCAGAATTAAATTGGCCCAGCTCATGTTCATATTCTATTTGCTGTGTCCAGCTGTCCAATGCTAAAAAAAAGTTGACATTGAATGAAATATGGAGTTGAAAAGGGCAAGGCGGACTCTTTTGGTAAGAGCACATTGCCTTTGTGTGATGAAGCCCTCAGATTCTCCCATGAGCCTTTGCTCTGTTCGCCGTCCCTTTCTCAGGGCTTTGACGTGCAGGTTTTTGACGCACAGTCTTTCCGGCTGTGTTTGGCCTTCCTTCTACACGGGCTCACGAACTGTGGGTCACGTCTGTTTTGCCGATGTGTTTTTATTCATTCACTCGACTGAACTGATATTATTTGGCAAGATATTGAATCTCGGTACCTTTTGGGAACTGAGTGAAATGTGTCTTTAGAACCAATAATAAAAAGCTGTTGGGACTGGAAGCCGTCTTTGAATCTCTGGTCTGATTCACACTTTACTGTATTTATCAGTTTATCTTTTGATATAGACTTTTGATTCAATGTTTAAAAAAAAAAAAATATCACTAGCATTTTAGAACGACCAAAGATTTGTCAGAAAATGTGTGTTTATATTCCTCAAAGTAAGTTTAACAATAAAGATCCTTTGCTTTGAAAAGTGATTAGTGTAATTTCGGTAGTGGTACAAAAAGTCAGGAATGTATAAAAAATAACTAGTTATAAAAAATCCTGCTGCATAGGTAACATTTTCAAAACATATTTTCATCTTTAAGATTTACCTTTTTATTTTGAACCCAAAGCAAACATGGTGAAAACAGGATTATTTATTTTTATCATTTTTATTTTATTGAGATAATTGAAATGTCTGGAAGATCCAATGATGAAACTGCCTCTCTGTTTTTCTTCATACTCTTATATGAATACTGATCCCTTCTGATTGTCTCCCCCAGCTGCTGGCCTGTACTACTTGGCAGAACTAATAGAAGAATACACAGTAGCCACCAGTCGAATAATAAAGTACATGATAATGGTGAGTAACCGCATCATTCTCCTAATTCTCTTGATTTTTAAGAATATACTGCACTGAACCATGTTGTTAACAAGGCGTCCTGTGTGTGTGAATGTGTCCAGTTCTCCACAGGGGTGCTGGCCTGTCTCTATCTCTTTGAGAGCTTCCCAGTGCTGATGGTGGGGGTCGGCCTCTTCACCAACCTGGTGTACTTTGGCCTCCTGCAGACTTTCCCTTACATCGCGCTGAGCTCCCCAAACTTTATCCTTTCCTGTGGTGAGCATGACACACTATCTGTTAGCACCAAATGTCTTTTTCTCTTGTCCTGTTTTCCAACATTTTGTCTCTTCTTTGTCTTCACTCTCCAGTGTTGGTGGTGGTGAACCATTATATGGCCTTCCAGTTCTTTGCACAAGAGTATTATCCCTTCTCAGAGGTAATTTTGTCTCTTTCTGAAGCCATATCCATGAAAAAGATTGTCTGCCATTCTAACTCAAGTCTCATAATCTTTCATTCTGCGTCAAGGTGCTGGCGTACTTCACCATCTGCTTGTGGGTGATCCCCTTCGGCTTCTTCGTGTCCTTGTCAGCGGGGGAGAACGTGCTTCCGTCCACCATGCAACAAGGAGGTGAGACTTATGTCTCTTTGGCTGTATGTTGGTTGTTGATTCGAGCTGTGTGTTTAATTGTAATCTCTCTATCATGACACGTTCTTAGATCCCTCAGTCTTATGAACACAATCTTAAAAAGCCTATGTTATAATGTTATGGTAATCAAGGGAAAACCATGTCTATGTCATTTAAAGGAATGACCCCCTGCGCTTATATTAGCCGTGCTAGTTCAGTAAGTCGATGATGAGACTCGGTCATGGGTTCGATCCCCAATTGCTTTTTTTTCTCTGTGTGTGTGACCACTGTTGTTTATTTCCTCTTAATCTTAAACAACAAATTAATAGGGCTGTAATGAAAAGTTAAAGCTTCATTAATAACAGTTACATTCAAATACTGCGCTGCTTTTCTTTTCTAGATATTACCCTTAACTCTAAAGCGTTGTAAATTCCATTAGTCCAAGTTAATTGAAAATACATGTTATCATTAAAAATATTGCCAAACATAAATCATCCAACAAATGCTTCAATCCATATTTAAAAAAACTAATTTTCACTGTGGGCAAAAACAGTGTTCTCCTGTTTGCTGCTAACAAAGGGAGACAAGCAGGAATCCAATAGCAACATAAATGACTTTAAATAACATAATGTCTATTTTGTCACACTTTTACTGTGAATTAACGATCAAGTTGATTTAATAAAGAAAATACATGTTCATTAAATCTTTTGGTTGATTGGAAAAGTGTGATTATTGATTGACAAAACACACTTGAAGCTTCTTTTCAAGACCTCCATAGAAGCTTTGACTAAATGGAAAAACTACAGGTGTTGTCTGAGAATAAAAAAACGACTGTATAACAACTGACTTTGTTCTTTCTTTTAGATGACGTGGTGTCTAATTACTTCACCAAGGGCAAGAGGGGGAAGAGGTCTGGGATCCTCGTGGTGTTCTCGGTCCTGAAGGAGGCAGTGCTGCCCAGCAGACAGAAGATGTACTAAGGGGCTCGGGGGGGGCAGCCTCAGGGTCAGGAGGTGTATGAGTGAGTGAGTGAATGTGTGTGTGTGTGTGTGTGGAGGATTAAGGGGAAGTAGGAAGGACTCTGGGAATTTGTTTTCTGGATGGGACTAAAACGAAACAGTGGCCATATTGGGAAAAAGAGGAAGGACCAATGAACGGATCGGAGCTTCCTGCTGGACGAGATTACACCGGCCGCGGTCGTCTCTTTGTTTCTCTCTTTGTCTGTCTGACTGCCAACAACATCAACTTAAAGACCCCTTTGTGGGGATCGGTTCTGTAGCGCAACGCTTTGTTATTCACATGTTGGACATTTTTTAAATCTTTGGTATTAAAATATGTTTGTGAAAAGGTCTGACATTTAACACCCACCTGTACGTTTTGACTTGGGAGATAAATAATTTCGTGTTTTTTTTCCTGGAGATGAGATGTTCTGTCTTTTATGTGTTGTACAGTAGGTTTCACGCTAAGATTAAACACAGAAGAGCAGAATTAGGAGACGACTAGATAAATCTCCTCAGATGAAGCCACTTTAAGGTACTTTCTGGTTTAATCCTGATGTCCAAAGCTTTCATTTTTGGTTTGAAGTGGCATAACAGCTGCAGGAAAAATGCCTCAAGTCCCTACTTTACCCGACTACTTTAAATAAGAAAGTGAAGTTAAGTTGTAATTAATCAGCTGGTGCTTTAATTTAATTACAGGATGTGTCATGATATAAACACCCTGTCGCTTCACAGTGATGAAAATGGCTTAATAAGGGCATTTGCAAAGGATTACTTCTATAAACGAAACACCCTTAAATGAATGTGATCTACAATGAATATCTCCCAGTCTGGATCATTTACATGTGTTGGAGATTTTCTTTTTTTGTCTTACAGATCTAAAGACTCATTAATCACCAGCTATTTTTTGGACTATTTTGAAAAGAAATCCACAGTAATAACAAACTGATTTTTTAAAAACATTGATCAGCGAGTTAACCCGACATCTTGACGACAAATGAAAACACTTGTGAAGACTAACGTGCGTCGGGGACAAAAGCTGCTCAAAGTGGTTTTTGATGAAAGTGCTTTTAAAGAGCCCGACATTCTTTTGACCAATTACCGAGTGCGATTCATTGGAGGCTGGTATGCTACACAGATGTATAATAAAATACTTTGTTGAAATAACAGATAGATTAAATGCTTCTTTTCACGGAAAAATAGATCCTCAACATTTCCAATTAAATCTTCACTTATTTAATGTTAAATCAAATGTGTAGTACGATGGATTTTCCTGTTACGCCCTGAACTTCACTCCGTCTAAAAATGTGTGTGTGTTATCCACGTCCCATGTGTCTCGGTCACAGTGAGGTTGAGGCTAGTGTGCACTTTGACCCCCACTGAGGTGTGAAGTAAAGCTAAAAAGACAAAACAACCACACACACACACACACACCTTTAGCTGACAGGCCACAGCTCCCACACACACACACACACACGCTGTTGACAAGCCCTCACCTGGACCCCGAGTCAGTTCCCTGGGGGGAGCAGAGAAAGTGCAGGGACTCATCTGAGACAGGTGACCCAGTTCACTGAGGTTTTCTCACCTTTCACTCACCCCTCCTTTCACCCCGCGTTTGGAGGCACAGCATCTGGGGTGTGTGGCATTTTTAATTTTGTCACTGGGCTTGAAGTCTAGGAGGGGGGAGGGGGATTTTGTGTTAGGGAAGGTCTGCTGTTGAGACTGTTACAACTCGAAGTGAGATTACAGGACACTGCTAGATGTCCTTACAAAACATCTCCTAAAATAGAATCCCCCTAAGCACAATAATTACATTTTTTCAGATCATTTGATGGCATGTTAAATACAAAAATTGATTCATTTTTTTTTTAATCTACCATCAAGTTTACATAATGGATATTTTTAATCCATTCCTTTTAGACATTTACTAATGCAGGTGTTGTTTAAGCTCTTCCTGTGTGATGTTCAGTAATGTCCGGGCTCCAGCACTTCAGCCAAGTGCATGGCCACCTCTGTCCAGGGGGAGGTGCTCCGCCCCTGGGGGTATCCTCTGTGCTGGACCTCCACAATGTCCTTTGGCTCAAAGTACCGTGGGGAGGGGATCCTGGAAGGGAAGGCTCTGGGGAACAACACCCTCTGGAGGACATCCAGAGGCAGGTCGGGGGCGGGGTGGCGCCTGCTGTCCCACTGGGTGGTGTACTGAGGCTGCCGGCTGCCCCCCAGCACTGTCACTTTATCCCGGAGGTCCGGCTCCCTGAGGGGCTTCTCTGGCTGGAGGCCCGAGAAGATGGTCCAGGGTCTACGGGAGGAGGCTGGAGGTTGCTTAGTGGGGATGTTTTTGTCCTCCAAAGGACCTCCTGGTTGGTGTTTTGGATCAGAACTAAGGCACTGGGTGTGGTACTGGCTCACCAAGACTTTCGGGGAAAATTCCTTCAGGAGAGGAAGACCTTTTTGGTTCGCCCACTCTGTCATCTTCTCATCTATAACTGTCTAAAAAAAGACATGGAAATCAGTTCGAAAAATGCTGCAAACCCCTAAATGTGGGGAGATTAGATTTGCCCAACATACAAACCAACCTTTTTATTGATTTTATTTAATTTGACCATATCCATGAGATCAATGTATAAAGTTTGACCCAGCTTCCTCTCCTGCATTTCTTTCTTCTTATCAGTTTGCCACATGCAGCTTTTCAGATACCTGCACAACAACACAAGAAGTCCGTCTCAAACTTCAACCAAAACAGTTTAACCAACTTTGTATTCTGTTGTTATTTGAGCTTGTTACCTTGCCACCTCCCTGTGGCACCAGATGCGGGCCGAATCCAGAGGAGTTTGTCCCATGCTGTCCCGGGCCAGCGCATCTGCTCCGGCCTGCATGAGGGTCTCTGTGCAGCTCAGGAGGCCTTCAGCGGCGGCCAGGTGCAGCGGGGTCTCCCCTGAAACTGTGGTACTGGTAAAGACAAACATAAATCACTACTATTATTTTTGTCACCATAATCATAATCATTATCCCTTGCAACAGCATATAAACATTCAACTAGCTCATCGTAATCCTAATTTCACTTTTTATTGTAGGCTTTTCTTAAAAAATGCTTTACTTTTGTGATTGAATAAGCATCTATTGGACCCAGCTGATACATCCAGCTACTTGGACATGCACACAGCATTTTATTCACAAAAAAAGTGTTCCCCTACGTGTTGATGTCAGCCCCGTGCTCCAGCAGGTAAATGAGGCACAAGGCGGTGTTGGGTGAGCTCTGGGGGGACAGGACTATGTGAACAGGCCGGCGACCCTGATTATCGCTGCTGTTGACCCCCCCAGTGGACTCCACCAGCAGCTGAACGGTAGCCATCTGACCGTAAAGGCAGGCCATGTGCAGCTCTGAAAGACCCTGGTGGAAGAAACACATCATATGCATGCAGTTATATATGCTTTTTCAATGGCATGGCTTACTGGGAAATTCATTGGAGTGGAGCAATCATTATTTCTTTTACATTTATTGTTAGTGGACTGGCAATTTATTCGATTATTTCCATTTTGTGATGTGTGCTTTTAATGAAATGAATTTATAATGAGAAATATAGATTTTTTCCCCCTGTTAACACAGATTAAGGTTTACACTGTTCATTGCATCTTTTAACAGTGAAATACCATTTCCACTGGATAAAACTTCAAAAACACATAACTACTTTTCTTCCCAATAAGAATTTCCTTGGCTACTCAACTTTTCAATGCCGACTTGTTACCTTTATTCTAATCAACGTAGTAGTAGGCTCTTTTTTAGAGAGTTTAGAGATTAAATTATTGCAGTGGGTCAATTTAATTCCACCAATAAGCTCCTTTCTTCTCTTAATGTTATTGAGCCTACATGTCTGTTCACACTGCCATACTGATCCAACGCCTCTTGGCTCCCAACATCTGGAAACATCTGCCCCTCTGGGGGAGCTTTGTGGGTCACCTTCCTGCGAAATGAAACCATAAAAAACTAGGGTTGTGAATGCTAGGTTAGTATCATCATAGGGCAAAATAAAGACTTTGATGCATTGATTGATTGATTGAAAAGTTTATTAACAGCTTGTATATTGGGTACAGTACAGTACAGCTCAAAACATACAATTGTTAAGGGGATGCAGACCAGAGAAAGACTTTCGTCTTGTTTACATCAGGGTCCCCCATTTCCAATTCATCATATCATTTAAGACATATAGGACATATTTGACATACAGATGGCTTATTTACAATTTACATACAGGTGGTTTTTTACATACAGATGGCTTATTTACAATTCATGCACCAAATGAAACTAGGGGTAGATGGTGACTTAGTGTGACTTAGGTGACTTAGTTTGAATACAGTCACGTCACGTTCAAAATGGCCCATGTAAAAAGTAAAGTGCTCAAAAGCAGCTAGTTTACTATGAATTCAAGTTTACATTAAAAAGCAGAACAATTATCAATACATTTCTGAAGTTATTTACCGATTTCTACATTCCCCTCGTCTCCGTTTTCCTGATTTGTTGACAGGTTCCATGGTTACCAAGGAAACGTGGTCACCATGAAACAAACTGATTTTTTTGGGTCACTTTTACTTTCCACTTTCACGGAGTTAAGCGTTTTGTTTTAACATCTGCAGTCCTGATCACTCTACAATCTACAAAATATCCAGTCATTTTTTAATTGTAACCCTTTTTAATCTGTTTGTTTACCTAATGCTACGTTTATTTAATAGACCAAGAACCCTATTTTTGTTATTATTTGTATACTAAATGCTTGGGTTAATCATTGTTCGGTCTGAGGTCTGTCAAAGGTAGCAACAACATTGATTTAGATACATTTTTATACCACATTCATTTTCCACTTTTACTGGGTCATATTTAAGTCGAATAATAACTAGAAAATATTCATTAATTTTCACAATTGTATCCTCTTTCAATGCAAGTTTTCCGTTAGGTGTTTTTAATATAAGCCACTCAATGCGCATGCTCAACCTTGATTGGCTGATGCCTTGTTGCAATTTCATTGGCTGTCAGCAAAATACGTTTGTTGTCATTAGCTCGTAGCTAGCATACGTTAGCATTATTGCAACTTCCGCCAGACGTTGATAATATTTAACAGCAGCAAACGTTTAAAAGTCATTTGTAGAAACAAAAGTTGGTAAATTACGTCGGTACTTACTTACCGTGAGATATATGTATAAAACAAATCACTGATACAAATAATTATAATGGTTCTTCAAGAAAAGAAAATTGTTTTAGAGAACTTTGCAGGGGAGTCGTCGTCCTCAGGTTCGGGGAGGATGGTACCTGGTCCAGAAAATCCCGTCTGCATTTCAAGCTTCTTTCTCAGAGGATTGCCAAACTTGAAAGCAGCAGAAGAACGTGAATCGACAACAAAATGCAGCAAGTTGGTGGGAACAGGTATGTTAGTTAATGAATCACCTTTGTCAAAATGTGCCAAAAGTGTAAAATGTTACTGTGCATTATATAAAATGGTGTAATGTTTTGTTGCACCTGTCTGAAAATGCCCATAACATACCATGAGTACTTCCCCTCACATATGTAATGTGTGTATGCTATGATGTAAAGCAGACAAGGATGCACCTTGTTGTAATGGCAGATATGTTGTCATCTCATAAGATAAGATAAGATGGTACTTTATTGATCCCAATTTGGGAAATTGTTTTTGTTGCAGCAGCATAAAAGACAAGGCATTTTACAATAAAACAGAACTAGAAATAAACAAGAATAGAAAGAAAATAAAATAAAATAGAAAATATACATGTAGAATTTGACAAGGAGAGTATGTCATTTCCCCCCCCATGACAGCACCTCCTATATACAGCTGTTTATTTCGTGCCCACCTTCGTATGTTTCTTTCTCTTTTCTATCTGTTTTTTGTTAACCTGAAACATTAAGTTGAATGTTAATTTCAAAGTGTGTTTAAAGAAGGACACTTTTTTTAACCTCCTTATAATCTGAGAAGAAAGACGAAAAAAGATGAGCAGCTGCAGGGACAGCCACCCGATACACTAATATTTGTATGCAGTTAGACTTACGTTTCACAGACACAGCCTTAATCAGCATGCCATTTTTGAAAGTAAAAAGTCCACTTCCTTATTTGATAAAACAGGTCTGAGTCATTGTGACAGATCCGGGCAGATGAATGGCTACTGTCATGGCAAAAATGGATACTTCCACTCTCCCGTCCCTGGTGTGTTTGTATTGATGGTGCTTTATGATTGGCAGCTCGTTCGTCGCCTGAGTAAAAGCAGATCAATCCTGCCAGTGCTGTTGAGGCCTCAGAGCTAACGTTTGTTCCACTGCGCCCCGGGCCTGCCGCCACGCTTGATGCCGATAGGAATTAACACGTATATTCTCTATGTCTCTGTGAGGCTGAGGGGTCGATAGGCTCATCGGGCGCAGGCCTCTCTGATCACTGATATTGACCACTTGACCCCGGGCTGCACTGGATGTAGAGAACTGTTTGTCATGGTAGAGACACTGTAGTTTGGGTTAAGTCAATTTAGAGGATTCAGAATAAGCAAACTCACTGAAATGTATCTTATCATTGGTTTATGTTGCCTATTTTTTTAGTTTCCTTGGTTTCTTTATTCATACATTTGCTACATTTTCTAGGGAAATCCTAGAGAACGGAAAGCACAAACACTATTGCTAAAATTAAACTTACCCTTGTTGTCTATGCAGCTTTACATTTCCTTAACCCATTTGAAGAAAGTATTCTATTTCCCCTTTTCTTTTTTATTCTACTAAATAAAAAGCATAAAATATAGAAAAAGGAATACAAAATAAAGGAACAAATAACACAGACTCGCAAATATAGATTGCTGACTTGTGGTGATGGAAACTTCCACAATGAAGAATATTTTTAGTTGGTCAAAATCTTTAACTTTAAGATCCACTTACTAGCTTAAAAAACCCTTAATATCGCACTTCCTTAACGTACCTCATACATATGTTCTGCAGCTATTCAGTACTTTTTTTTTATGACTTCCACCATTTTATTCTTTGTCATTCTCTGTCACTCCAAGCTATGAAGGTCCAGTGGAGGGTCAAGGACGGGCCGTGAACTTCTGGCTTCCTGCTCCGAGCCACCAACCCCCCCAGAGCCCACGCCTTTATCACAACACTGCTACTTCAATGACAAATGCATGCAAGTGCACAGAAAGAGTGAGTAAGAAAACTGTGTGTGTGTTAACGTGCACGTAAATGTATATACGGCTTAATAGTAAGGGCACGGCCCCGCTGCGGCCTCTTTAGCTTCCTCTGACCTCGGTCACATGTGTGTCGGTGTAGAGCTCTTTCATGTTTGACTTTCAGCACAAGTCCCCGGACGACGACCCCCGACATGACCTCTTTCTTCTGGCAGTTGAGTGTGAATGTGTGTTTGATTGCCCATGTACTGTCAAACTCAGTCTGTCTATGAGAGTGCATAAGCCTTAACATCTTAAAAGCTTTCTGTTTATTTTTTTTAAATGAATATTTTTCAAGCTCTGGGGAAAACGGTTTTACATAAATCAGATGTCAAGTCAAGTGCTGAAGAAAAGGGTTAAAACTAATGATTTTTCTGGGATAAACTGTGTTTTTAGGTTACATACACAGCGTTTTCTGTGCTACAAAACTCCTCTGACAACTTGTGTAGCACACATTAGAGCAACTTGAGTCTAGTTCGGTGTGTGTGTGTGTGTGTGTGTGTGTGTGTGTGTGTGTGTGTGTGTGTGTGTGTGTGTGTGTGTGTGTGTGTGTGTGTGTGTGTGTGTGTGTGTGTGTGTGTGTGTGTGTGTGTGTGTGTGTGTGTGTGTGTGTGTGTGTGTGTGTGTGGTGTGTGTGTGTGTGTGGTGTGTGTGTGTGTGTGTGTGTGTGTGTGTGTGTGTGTGTGTGTGTGTGTGTGTGTGTGTGTGTGTGTGTGTGTGTGTGTGTGTGTGTGTGTGTGTGTGTGTGTGTGTGTGTGTGTGTGTGTGTGTGTCCCGGCTACAGCACGTCCAGTTGGTGCAGAGCAGATTAGCATCGGCACGATCTCAGCTGTCTAATGGCGCGTTTCCACTACAGCGCGGAGCACGGTTTAAGAGGGCTGTGACGTCAGCGGCCCGTCTTTGGTTGCGTTTCCACTTGGCCTAGTACCGGCCGGCGGGTCCTAATTCACAGTTTTTCTGGCCTCATAAAATCGCGGGTCTAGGGCCAGAGACAACGAGGCTGAGTCGGGCTGAGTATGCTAAACTAGAGAGAGCATCGCTGGCAAGGGGGCTACAACTACAACAAGATGGACATATTTGACCGTGATTTAATTGTAATACACGTTTCAAAATGATGCCGAAGTAACAACATACTGATACCGGTTAGTAAAAACCATGAATTAATGCTTTGTCAAGTCTGCAGACAGACGGCAGGGGAAAAACCTTTTAAAATGCTTGTTTTCTAAATGGAGATTGGCTAAGCTAACGCAGTATGCTCCGACCGTCCACACTCACAACGGCCTATACAGACATAAATAAAGCAGCGACTGTATTCACCATGACACAGGCAGTCTGTGGTTTGTACTTGTTTAACTTTTGTCTAGTTTCTGAACATATATGAGGAGCTGTGAGCTCTGAGTGCTAACAGCTAACGGCTGTGTTGTTTTTCTGGGGTTCTCTGAAGATCACGTCACGGCTCCGCCTACACTGCGTTACTATAGATACTACCCCAGTTCCTAAACTGTAATGGAAATGCGCCATAAAGTGAGCCAGTCCTAACGAGGCCCAGCCATACCGAGCGGGGCCGAGCGAGGCCGTGTAGTGGAAACGCGCCATAAACCTGCTTAGGGCGAGGATGAAAGTGAGATCATGTGCCAGTAGCCTCACGGCGCGCTCTCCCATTGGTCCGTTACCTCATCCAATCACATCTGATTTTGTGCTCAGTGAACATGGAAAGGGAATACATCTGTCCTCTGAATCTAAAGGTTTTTTGGTTATTATACCGTATTATCCCTCTATTCAATATTTATTTAGGGTGATTTTACCTTTTATTGATAGTAGTATGTGCACATTGACTGGAATCATGGGTAGATTAAAAGACACTTGCAAAATAGTTTCTTGGCTAGATTTAAACAAGGGACATTAAATACTAATAAATCCTCATTTTGGGTTTTATTTGGGGTTTTCTTCTTCATTCTAAGCGCTGTTTGCTGCTCTCTATATTTGGAAAATACTCTTAAGAATGCTTGAGTTTTCATTAAATTAGTTTGAAGAAAAGTGAGTGCTTCAGAAGAGAAATGAAGCAATAGAGGGAGGAAAGAGTTAAGAAGTGAGGCAGTTGAAAAGCGAGAGAACACAGAGCGAAGGAGAAGATGAAGAGTAGCTACCAGAGCAAACACACAACCTTGATATGCCTCCATATTTGATGAGCCACCTTACGAGGACCCTGGGCCTCTGGGGTTTCTGAACTCTGCCTGTGTGTAAGTGCGCTGATGTCCTCACTCTCCTTCTTTTTGCTTCCTCATCCTTTTGCATTATCATGTCAAGTAACTAGGCAAACA